TAACCTAAATCAAAAGGAAACATTTATAAGAAAATAATGCTTACTTTCGATTTCGTTGTTGCGATTGATCTGAATGGCGAAAAAAAGATTTATATAAATAATAGTTACATTTTATTTTGAACTAATATATATACGTATGTATAAATGTTACTTACATTTCATTTCGTTGTCGAGATTAACTTAACCAAGAAAGACGAGTTTATAAAAATAATTAAGTTCATTATGGTGTTTTTGTGTGTATGAAAACTACGTTTTATCTTGTTTTCGAGGCTGACCTGAATGGAAAAAGAAAAACTATTAATATAAATAATACTTACAATCCATTTTGTTGTGGAAATTATTATCCATTTCAAAATAAAGTGGACTCGGTTGTTTGTTTAATAACTCTGCAACGCTGATAGCTATCGAATCGCAGTTTTCACTGTTAGACAAAGGTTGGGTGAGGGTACCTGTACAGCTAAGAGTCAATGAATTTTGAAAGTTTTATAGAAGTTGTGCAAGTGCTTTTTTATAAAACTCTGACTGACTCTTTTGATTAAATAGATTATTGATTTCAATTGAGCCAAATTGTAGCTGAGTATTTGCTCTATAAACGCTGAAAGTTTCACACTTCCGTTATGTGTCTCTGAGATAAAAGAAAAAATCTCCTGAAATCGAATGATGCTAAATTTTCAAAGTTTTTTGTCTTAGACCTCTCATCCATAGAGGTAATGGAATCTACTGATTATTGTAACGTTATTAGTTAGATGATTGAAGATCTTTGATTTCTTCATAACACCTCGTGTATGTCTATTTCTGCCGATCTTCACTAATCAATTCAAGAGAAACATTCATTTTTTACTCGTTCGTGTTTATTTTTTGGTCTATTTGATCACACTGACATATGTATGCATCAGAGAAGTTGTCACAAGTGCAAATGGTAGAGAAGAGGGACGCATACAAATTGTCACTTAGAAATATCACACTCATTGCCATTCGTTGCTGCTGAATCTTCTTTTTTATCGATTTCAATGAATGTCTATCATTTGCCCCAAATTGTGGTTCCCTGAATCAATCCCCAAATCATATCTCCATTTGGAGAAAATAAAACAATTAAGGTAAATTCTGGTCACCAAATGGGGATTTTATTTTGGGCATTTTTTTATTTGGGCATTTTTTTTTCATAAGATACATTATGTTTGTTATGAATCAATAGCATGTTGCTTCTCATACTACATAGTATCAACGAATGTCTATCATTTGTCACAAATTGGTTACCACAAATATATTCTCAAAAAAAAAAA